ACCACAGAGAAACAGCGGCGTGACGTGGGGCGGGCGGGGGGGGGTAATAGTCTGAAATTACAACTCTACGGAAAATATTTGAAATGCCTCAACACAACACAGCTCACAAGCAGTTTCAGAAGTCAACAGAGCGGGACCCATGCGGTTACAATGCAGAAGTGGGACTAATATAGCTTTGTTAACAGGTTCTGCGAGAACCCTTTGGAAATGATCATATAGTATGTGGCAGAGGTGGGACCAAGTCCTTGCTTTGCAAGTCATAATTAAGTCTCAAGTCTTTGCACTCAAGTCCGAGTCAAGTCTCAAGTCAAGACAGGCAAAGTCCGAGTCGAGTCCAAGTCAAGACTAAAAAGTGTCAAGTCAAGTCCCAAGTCCTTACGTTTCTGTTTCGAGTCATTTTAAACAAAATAACAACATATTTACACAGATCACTTTGGGTTTTGGAGAAAGTATCAAGTCTTGTCGAGTCAAAGGGCTCAAGTCCAAGTGAAGTCACAAGTCATTGATGTTAAAGTCCAAGTCGAGTTGCAAGTCTCTTTACATTTTGTCAAGTCGAGTCTAAAGTCATCAAATTGATGACTCGAGTCTGACTCGAGTCCAAGTCATGTGACTCGAGTCCACACCTCTGGTATGTGGCAAAAAAGGGAATTGTGATTACATTTTTTAAAAAGCTAAAGGTCACCTCAGCTGATGCAAGCGTGCGCTAACTCTTGTTAGCACACGCTAGTATGTTCCAGTTGACAGCTAAAGCAACAAATACAAAATCGCTTCCATATAAATGGTATAAATGGTATAAACAGGTTTGAATTAGACTTCTTATCAGATGTCGCTCCACCCGGGTCCTCGTGTCTATCACCGAGTAGCTGAAAGCTGTACCGAGAGGAAGTACCGGAAGTCATTATACTTTATTTGTTTTGAAGCTGGTTGGACTTCTTTTCTAACCACCGAGGCGTGTGGCTGACACATGGTCTGTGTGAGCCAACACTGGTTTAAATATGTCGTGTTAATTGTGACCTGATCTTTGTGGTTTTATTTTCAACTGATACTCTAGATGTAGATGTGTATGTGATATATTATGTTACGTAAGACATTTTCAGATGAAGTCAGACAAAGAAACTGTTAATAAAAAAATAATAATATAAATGTTCTTATAAAATAGGAAAAAAAATTAGGTCAAAGTCCACATCCCTAATTTATAAATAAATAATAATAGGAAAAAAAAAGTTCCGTCCCTCTAAAAAAAATCCCTTATTAGTGCTAATAACAATGGAAAAAAACATGTTTTTAAATGCTATGGAGACATACACACACACACACAAAATAAATATAGTATATAAGGATTCCTGTGATACAAAATAAAATGTGGTTTTAATTATGAGTTCTTACTTTTGAGATGATACAGGTGTCTGTACGAGTAAATCTTTACTCGTATCTCAAAGCAAAAATTAGCTCGAATGCTTGCTTGTATCTCAGAGTACTTGTATGTCGGGACGCTCGTATCTCGAGGTTCTACTGTACAGGCAAATTTAATAAAAAAGAAAAAAGAGTTTAGCGCTGCCCTAGCTCTATAAAATTAGGACGTCAAAAAATTTTATTGGTTATTGCACCAGTCAGTAGTGCAGTGAAGTATATTTCTTCCTATTTCGGAGTTGAGGAACTTAGAGACTTGGTTTCCGGTCTTTGCAGTGGAACCACAGATTGCGTTAATATCTAATTTATCTCCACAAAACCTGACCTGCCTTTTTAAACAACAGTTTATTTGTTGTAACAGAAAAAGGGGAGGAATGAAAAAACGATTTATTCCACGTCATATGTATCATCGCTCATGTTTGGAACCCGGCTTTTGTGAATCAGATGTAAGCAAAACATTTATTTCAGTGTAGCGGGGAAATTTATCAGCATCGATCTGAACTCAACAGTAAGGTTAAATTAAATGATTGCTTCCCTGCTGTCTTCTGGGCAATCAGACAAATGGATAAATTGTCCAACTGTGACAAATGATTTTACCCTTGTCCTCACAACAAAGGAGCGGGGTTGTACTTTTTGATTGTTTATCACCAGGTTTATCGTCTGCTTGACAAGGACACACTCTGTCAATGTCTTAATTAAAGTTTTTTGCGAAACCAAGAGTCGGACTTTTTAGACTTTGTTCAGACTGTAAAGAAAAAGAAAAAACTATCACATCTGCAAGAACTACAATAGACGATGTGTGTGTGTGGGGTGCTTGTGTATGTATAAAGGGAACAAACAAACTGCTGGGATATAATCATTGCCATTTAGGAAGCAATACTGATTATATATCAATTTCACTGTCTGTTGTGCAAATTGGACAGACAACAGGCGAAAGGGAGAGACAACTAGCAACGCAACACCAATTTTAGGATTGCTGTTTTTCCAGTGCATTTACAGTTAGTGGTATCCAGTGGCCTGCCATGTATTTCATAAGTAAGCCTTCAGTAGTTTCCTGCTTGAATAAATCCATATCCTAATAACCTCATTGTGGCATTGTGGCATTTGGTGGTTCCATAGTGCCTTACATGCAGGTCACGTCCTAGGTTAGAGACCCAAAGGAACCACCTACTTAATGGTGCCTCCCATGTGGCATCCTGTGAGGTGTTGCAACCACATAGTTCATTGCATCTCCCGTGGCAGCCTGTGTGGGTTGCAAAGACTCACATTACAGATTTCCCCATTGTTAAAAGCGTACGGGAAATGAAGTATAACGAGTCGTTACATTCTAGATAACTCAGGTAGCCATAATAATGCCAAGAAAAAACACATGTTTCACAATTCAGCCACAACTGTGATATACTTAAAAAAAAAAGCATCAATAATAACATAATAAAATGACAAACCTCAGTTTAAACATACAGCACTGGAAACAATGCAACCAAGCGAGAAGCCATGAAATAATGAGAACAGGCTATTTGGAATTATTTTGTAAGTATTCATGACATTTAAAAATCTTTGATGTGATTTATGTTCCCATATATATATGCATGCATACTGTATATAAACGTATTAGTAGTTGTTTAATATATATATATATATATATAACATTAAAGTGTATTTATTTTGCAAAAACAAGACATATATATATGTGTGTGTGTGAAAGCATATTAGTAGTTGTTTAATTTGATCCAAAGGGTCGGTTTCGTGGCACTCCCTGACGCAGACACACAATCACACTCCTCTGTTTCCTGTCGTCATTCCTGGTCAAGGATCCATTCTCCTTTTTCCCATCCGCTTTCTCGTTGGCGTGTAAAATCACACTGACCCTCTACGTCATCACCGGCACCTCCCTCTCCACGCTCACTGCGACCTTGTGACTGCCATCTAATACGACTAATAGCAGCTCGAGTCCGTGGTTCTTCCGTTCAGCAGTGACCAATCAGCGCACACATGGGCGGGGCCACTGTGTGGGCCTGGCGTTTACAGTTTGGTTGAGAAACGTACGTCTGGGCTGGGATTTTTGTGAGTTTTCCTTGATTTTTATTTATATTTGTAAAAATAATAATACACATGGATATTAAAAATATTTTAGTATCCGAAACGTTGTTGGTTCATTTTGTCCGTTTAAATTATTATAATGTCAGCAACGAGAACTCATGTTTATCTTAGCTAGCAAAAACAAAGTAGTGACAGTGGAGAGAACAACGGTGATTTTACACATTGCAAGAATATTTATATTTATATTTATTTATGACGGGTTTGGGAATTATTGCAAGCTTCGTCGGTGCTTCGTGAAAACTGACATCCCACTCGGGTTCGGTTACGGAATGTGTTTTTGTGTTTTAAGTCTGTATTTACAACATTATAGCTTAAGTTTAAAACCTGGAAGTTTAGCTCTTCGTATCCATTGTTAAAAACTGAACTGGCTTCGTTTGAGGTCACTTAATATAGAACGTATTCCTTCTATTCTCAACTGAATCTGCCATGTTTGTTGACATCTGTGTTTCACTTCAGTCTTGTGTCAGCTCAAGTGTCCGTCTGTTTTCTGCAGGGGAAACCAGGGAATCACGTGTTAAATGTGGTATTTGGTTATCAAACTTTGACGCCTCACACAAGTGAAAATAAACCGGATTGTTACACATTCATTTCGGGATTCAAACAGCTGTGTGAAGTACTTGAGGACGGGGACTGCCAGATCCTACCACACCTCTCCTTCATTCACAGCTTTTTTTTCATTGCTCGACCGCAACTGGAACTACTTTGAAATTTATTCTAAACGGAATGGATTTACTCAAGACTTAACCCGCAAGGGTTTCCTTTATATATGTTGAGTTATTTTGGAGTTTACTTACTTTTAACGGAAGTCATCTTTAAGACTTGATTACTTGAATCACTAACCTAAAGATGGATCAAGCAAGTGGCGGAGAAGATCCAAACAAACCTTCTAAAAAGAAGTCCGGGGATGACGAGGGAAAAAACAAAAAACTGGTATGTGAATTTATTTTGTGTTTATAAACTGTCTGCGTGCTTCAACATAATTGTGGTCAACTTTCACATCCTCTAATCTCACAGATGAGTTCATTTCACTGTCAGCTTTTGGTTAGAGAAAGTTTAACAACTTCAGGCAAAATTATTATATGTGACAATTTAACGGGAGGTAACTAGGTCTTTTTGCTCTATATTTAACATTTAAGAACAATGCCTTAATTGCAATTAAGAGGCAGTTAGTAAGCACATGGTACACAGGTCATTCTAACGCCCTAGTGTTGAAGCCCTTCCCTTTAGTCCAAACACAAGTACATCATTTTGCTACATTTTTGTCTTGTACGAGGTGTTGGAACAGTAAATGACAGTCCCCAGTTGAGCAGAGTGGTCATGGGGTATCATAAGCCATTATCAGGGTGCTTAAGTAGATTTAAGCAGAACCATTAAGTACCTGAAATGATGATTTGAATTTAAAGCAAGCAGCTACTAGTAGCCAGTGTAGCTCAGTGAAAAGAGGGGTGACATGTGGTATATATATAGCAAAGAGGAGGGGCCACAGCACAGAGCCTTGGGGAGCCCTTGTGAAAAGGTGGTATGACGCAAACCAGGAGTGTGCACTGCCAGTAACGCCCGTATCTAAGACTATGGATAATAGGACAAGGTGATTGACTGTGTCAAATGCTGTTAATGTGTTGAGCAAAATGAGTATAGAGGACTTGACAGCCACTCTGGCTTCTTTTAAGGCATCCGTCACATAAAACAGAGGCGTCAGATTGCTTGTAGACAAGGTGGTTGTTTTGAGAAAAACATTCTGTTGTTTGTTTTGAAGACCACCCTCCACTTCAGATAACACTGGCTTTTGCGTTTTCTCTGATTTATCAGCTCAAGGTGACTTTAGGATTTATTCCGTGACAACAGAATTGTTAAAAGTTCCTTGTAAGAGACAGGCCAAGAACATCAAACTCTTCAAAGATCTTGAGCTAAAGCTGTTAAAGGTTGCCTAGTTCGCTAATGGGATTCTACTCCATAAGCTTACTGTAACAACTTAACTTAGTTTGAGCGGTGATTAAATTAGCTTTTTACCCCATGAATTGAATTTGAATGTTGGCTGGAAAGTGACAGCCTAAGTAAACTTGTAGGAGTTTCTAAACATTTAGCAGTGTTGTCGTCGACTTCAGGTTTATTCCACAAATGTATGAGTATTAGCCTCATATAAAATCAAACCAAGCTCAACTTAAACTCCTGTACAATATAGTTTTGAATGTATTATCAATATTAAGCCTCTCTGGTTACTGTAGGATGAAATTATTGATGTTTTGTTATGACTTTTTAATGTTGCTCAATACAGAGCGGCTAATAGCCAAGCAGAGTGTTTCACTTAGTGCTTTGCTCTTTAGAGCACTCAGCACCGTCATCACATGATGTTTAGCCCATTGATATGCTCATAGAGAATCGTCTCTGAAGGAACAAATCTTGTTGTGAAAGCTGGGCTTCAATATCTATCAGTATTTTGCAAACAGAGACAAAGTTCACTGACTGGATGACTTGTTGGAATGTGTGGACCGTCGTGTGCTAAAACACCAAGTCGCACTATGCCAGTTATAAGTAGAGTAGAGTAGAGTAGGGCTTTATTCATCCCCCTTGGGGGAAACATACTAGTACAGTAGGCAGTGCAGAAAAAGAGAGAAGAGGAGTTAACACAATAAATAGAGTAAAAAGAACTAAAAAAACTAAATAACCACGTTAAATAAAAGTCTCAGACAAGGTCAGTTACAGACACAAATCTAGAATCTAGAATTCCAAATCCTTTTTTGGAAGTGAGTTAGCCTGTCATTAAAGGCACAGCTCAGTTTTCTTCAGTAAGAACCCAAAATATTTATATGTTTGAGTCTCTTTGTTAAGATAAGGGTTGAGTGGTGTCTGAGCTGAGTTTTCAGGTGTCGGTGTAGTCTTTTTTTTTTCTGTAGAAAACAAATGAAGAGTAAGTGTAGTTTAAGTTTTGTCCCCATGTATTAACGTTCAAACCAGTAAAGAACAGTTGTCTTCTACAGTCTTCTAAGTCAGAGTCTGAGTCCGAGTGAAGGTACTCTATGTTCATTGTTACTAATTAAAAACCTGCTTGAATCTGAGCTTTTTAACCAGTAAGGAAGATTTCATGTGAAGTGCACATGGTTTTCAGTCAAGATTTTAAGTCACAGTAGTAGACGGGAGTAGTCAACTATCTCAAAGCTATTTCTACAATAACGTTCTCTTGTCCATCTTTAATTTATGTGTTATCACCTTAAGTTTCAATTGTCACACAAAATAGACACAGAAATTACAAATACATAAATACAATGCCTTACATTGCAGCAGAAATTGTGTTTAATTGAGTGTTCTATAACAACTAATACAGACCTTATCCACTACAGTTGTAAAAAAAAAAACCCAAAACATTCCTGTATGTTAAATGGCCCATCATGGTAATTCAAGGTCAAATTGAGATGTTTAAAGGGCACTCATTTCAGATTATGTATTACTGTCACTTTTCTATATGTGTGGTCTGAAAGACCCTGAACATGAAAGTAATAATTATGTGCAGTTACAAATGTTCGGTTCAAAACCTTTAACCAGTAATCACTGGTTGTTCTTGTTTACAGCACATTTAATTTGAAGGAAATTGTGTGACCATAATAGCTGACCGACAGGACATCCCACAGTGGGAGTGAAAGAACATTCACTCTCAGGGCTACAAAAGGGTGTTGTCTTCAGAGATTCTGACCATGACAGCCTCTGACTTTAAATTAGCCTGCCTCTGATAGTATTTTTTTTTTAAGTCTTATAGCTGAAGGGCCAGGATTACAGTAGCAGCAGCAGCAGCAGAATTTGGTCGTTCATTAATGAGAATATTCTGTGAGATATCTTCTGTAGGGCAAACTCCAAACTGAACTGTCAGAGAAGCTGCTGCTTCAGTAATAGAGCTGAGTTTGAGGGAGGAAGTCATTATTCATTCTGGGTGGAGACTTGATTGTCCTAGACTTTTTCTTTGTATTTGTAGCAGTCCTACCAGAGAGTGGTGGGTCCAAGTCTGTTAGTACGCCTTCGGGCCTCAATATCGGGTCTAAATATGGGTTCTTGTGCATAAAACATTAACTGTACATTCAACCTGCAGATATGACTTCACTAAAATTATGCATTTTATTCTCTAATGTCAGTCATTTCTGTGTTGTTTTTTGGCTGATGTTGTGGTATAGCTGTCTTTTAGTCTCAGTCTTTTGGATTACAACTTTTTCTTCATTGGTGGATGATGATCTTTTGCTCATTGCTGTTTTAAGGATTACATTCATTTATCAGATATATGCCGATGTCTGCCAGATTTTCTATAAAACTATTGCCAGCGTATAAAACGTGATGAAGTCATGTCAGGATATTTGGACTGTGGGAGATTTACTACCAGCAGCTAACTGTGTGAGGGATTTGGTTACAGATGGGTAGTTGTAGTCTAGATGTGGTTTAGATTAAAGGGTGGGCTTAACGTTTATCATGGAGGAACTAAACCAGAGGTTGTCAGTGCATTTGTCACATTTAACAGATTGCACTACACAGTACTAGGCTCCTGTAGCAACAGAGGCAATTTTAAAGAATTAAATGATTTATCTTTTTTTATTCAAATGCAGTTAAATGCACATCCTGCATCAAAACCCCCATGCACAAATAATCTAATATTGGTATTATTGTATTTTACATTTTATGTTTTATGTTTTTATTCCAATTTGTTCTTTTAAACGAGCCTTTTTTTATTTATTAGGTCCTTATTGTTTGTTTGTTGTTCTAAATTTTAGAAAATTCTAAATTCAGAAGCATTTAGTGCTTATAATAGGATTACTGCCATTTCCAATCCAATTTTGCCGTTTGTAGCAATGCTGTATGTACAATGACGAGTAAAGGTTCTTGTGATATACAGACATTTAAGAAAGCACGAGGAGTAAGGCGCATACCATGTACGAGGAAGCAAAAGCTATAGAGAAGTAAGAAGTTTAAGCTTCTTTCTTGACAGTGGTTTATGTTTCCAGAGGTTCCTGCTGGAACATGTTGGACGCATTCCTTTATAGCATGCAGTTTGCATGGTTAATTATTGTTAAAAAGACCTAGCCGAATGCTGTGGTACTGCTAGGTCTCAGCAAAGTGAACTCCGTCTTCGAAGGAGAAATACTGAGGGCTGTGTGTTTGTTCAACAAATCATTGGGCAGGATTACATCATACAAGCACCGTTGGGCTTCAGGCCCAGGATGCAGATACACAACAGAGAGGCAAGGACATTTGAAAAACGCCCCAACCCTCAGGGAGAGGCAGGCTTCAAAACTTAGTTCTGCAATAATCAGCAACATTCAATAAAAAACTTGCCAATGACGTTTTCTTAAAGGAATTCAGGGAGAGCTAGTTTGACAGAAAGGACGAAATATTACTCCTCTGCATCCCAGAGTTAGGATGACATCATGAGTGGCCTGGGAGAAAGTCCTTCCAACTTTGTGACTTAACCCCAGTGCCTGTGATGAATGGGTTTAACGTTTTTAGCTGTACATATGAAAATAGTTCAACACTTGACACCTCCACGATGAATTCATTTTATCATTCGAAAAGAATATTGAAAACAGTCATTTGTTATATCCTGCGTTTATGGTTTTTATTGATTGCATTGCTAGAATATCTGCTTTTGGCAACTTGTGCATTTATGTAGCTTGTATAAACTACTACTTCATATATTTCAAAATGTTCATTGAATTGACTATA